GACGCGACTGCTATTCGTCAAAGTAAAAAACAACATCGTCGGGTATGTGGAAATTCGTTGAATAGTCATGGAATTCTGCGCGAAGCACGGGCCGAGATTAAATCGCGCGCTATGTGAGCGTAGGTGAGAAAGTGGAATATATATGTATATATACGAAGAGAGATATGCTAATTACATTTAAATATAAACTCGAGAAACGCTAAGAAAATTACCGAGCCGCGCTGATAACCCGAATAAAGTAGTCCTATCGTCGCAATTAGATGGCAGATGAATTTACATATTCGCGCGGGATGTCTGGTCCCTCGACATTTTTAAACCTCTCTCTCTCTCTCTCTCTCTCTCTCTCTCTCTCTCTTTCTCCCTGTCTTTCTATCTCGTGATATTGCTGCATGCGGCTTTCCAGTCTCTTCTCCAGTTTTCTTACTGACTCATATTGCGCACTAGACGAGCGATCTTTGCACTCACTTGTGCGCGACCATCCGGCAATCGGGAGTATTCATTAAGATACCTCGGTCACATTGTTTCGGCTGGGACGGCTCTGGGACGGTCGCTTATAATACGGTCGTTAACGAGCTTGCGAAGATAAATTCGCATCCTCACAGTCTCGGGGAAGTGTCATTAATGAAAGGGTCGAATGTGCCTTGCGGTATCGCGTGGGTCGGAGACTGCTCGAAGGAGCAGTAAAACCCTGACGAAGAAAAGGGCGGTCGGGCGCGAGGAAGAAGGCAACTAAATAATACGACCTTCGCGGACATTCGAGAAGTTAACGTCGCGAGCGCGAGGGCACGGAAAAGGTGGAAAGAAAAAGGAAAAAAAAAAAGAAGAGAAAGAAAAGAGAAAAGGGAGGAAAGGCGGCTGGTGTCGCGCGAGACGTTTTAATAAACCGAGTTGGCCAATCAAAGCGAGAGTTAAGGAGCTTTCTTGTTTTTTAACGGCCGTTTTTACGCCCGCTTAAATCACGCAGTAGCGCTGCGCCACTCGGCGAAATGATGGGGCGAGAAACGGTCGCGAGAGGAACGCCAGGGTAAGGAGCAAGAAAGAACTCGGGATTCAGAAAGACGCGGAAAGATTTTTATGAGCGAATGGCGATGCGAGGAGAGGAGAGAAGCGGGAGGAGGAGGAGGAGGAGGAGGAGGGCACTAGTGTGAGCGTGAATGAGCGCGAGTGTTCGTGCGTTTTCTGGGGGATGCAACTTCTCCGAGCAGATCTCGGAGTAAACTATCGATGCTGTGTGCTTGTTCGCGACTCGACTCCGGTCGCGAAATTTTGGTTCCCGTCAAAAATTAAATTTACTCGCGTTCTTTGCATCTGGATCATTCATCTCGGAAAACAATGTCCTTCCCCCTGGTGCTTACTCATTACTATGGAAATGAAGAGGAATTGTAATCCATCGATAATTTACTTATTTATATGTTATTCGGAACGAAAGCGGTCATATGTACGCGAACCGCCGATGCGCGATGAATTTTAATTTTTGTCCTCGCGCATATCATTCCGTTCTTACGCTCGCACAAACAGGTGACATCATTATCACGATATCGATAACTCGACTGCACCGGCGGGAGCCGGCGCGAACTACTTTGCCGCATTCGCGGCGCGGACGGGTGGTTATTTTAACGCACGATAAAACGCAGACGGATGCGCGTATAGGGACGCAGTTATTGGCACTTTAAGCGTAGACTTTTCATTCACAGCCTCTATAGACTCGCCGCGGCGCGCCGCAAACTATACATTTTTCATTCAGTCCGTTAGATGAATGATCACGTTATGAGGGTGCACGCGCGCGCGCGCGTTCGAAAGTATGCGCAGAAGCGTATCTGCTGCGCTTTGTTGCGTGGGAACGGAGCCAACAATGCGCGTTACCGATCACACGTGAAATTACCGTGCGACATCGCGCGGTTACAAGCCGGCATTATTCCTGTTACGGCCAATAGGGGATACGAAAATCTCCGCTTTCACGCCGCTCTACTTTCATTTATACACGCGCCTGTAAATTTATCATTTAACCGTCTCGCGCGTCACGACCGCGCGATTTAGCGCTATTTTATTTAAACTGCGCTCTAATTGATTGTTCGACGAACGTCGAACTAAACCGCGAAATCGAAAATGCCAGACTGATGAAATCTATAAATGCTAATCTCGTGGAGAGGAAGGGAGCGAACGGCTCGGAAACAAACTTTAATATCACCGCGGGTTCCCGCGTGCAGCCGACTTAAAGCTCAAGCTCGGCCGAACTCGACGAGCCTCGCTCACGCACACCACACCACTGTAAACTGGCCACACATAGCGGGTGCAAAAAATATGAAAACTTTCGCATCGCTCGGCCTTCATTTTTATTCGCCTCGCTTTTTTATACGCGGACGCGACGCGAGACGACGAACAGTATTCGCGCACACGCTCGCTACCGGGCGGCCATACCGGAACGGGACACGCGTTCCCATCGGCCGGATATTATTTCAGTCGGCGCATATTTCCGCAAATGAATTTTATGAAAACAGTTTTTGCTCTTTTAATTAATCGCTCCTCCGTCGGCGGACCCGCGCGCCCACCGCCATTTCTCTTCGCGCGGCGTCGGCGGCGGCGGACTCGATGCCGCGAGAAGCAGCCGCAACGAAAGAGAACGGGGTGAGAGAGAGAGAGAGAGAGAGAGAGAGAGAGAGTGAGAAAGGGTGAGGAAAAGGGAGAGAGAAGCGCGGCTTTTAGTAATAATATTGTTTCAGAGAACCGCACGCAGAAAAGAGCCGCGAGACTCTCACCTCTTCCCTCCCTCTCTCTCTCTCTCTCTCTCACAGCCCTTCTATGCGCGATACGTGATTTGCGTGATTTACGTAAGCCCGCCGCGACGTTACATATTCTGTCCCTTCGCTCGGCGACGAAGAAAGGACGCCTGGAAAAATTGTTAGCGCACAGATAGTGACGCTCGCTTTCCAAGTTGCTCGTGGCTCCGGGGAGTTTTGCGTTTCGACGGGGTAATTTGCTGGCGATTAAACACGGGGAATAGTCCGAACGGAATAACGATCGGGAAAAAGGTAGAGAGCGCGAGAGAGTCCAAGTGCGAGCACGCGAGCGAGAGAGAGAGAGAGAGAGAGAGAGAGAGAGAGAGAGAGAGAGAGCAAAAGCGATTCGATGTGCACTTCCGACGGGTAAATAGATACTGATAATCGCGCGGCTGTTGATCGTTTGCTTCTTTTGTGCGACGTCGGCGTGGTTGAAACTGATATAATTTGTATATATATCAAATTATATGCATATATACCAGAATGTCAAATTATGATTACAAACTCGTAATTATATCCCGCGAAATATTTAATTTACAGCCTTCAGAACGTTCAGAACGAGGTTGAAGCGTTTCAGAAATATCTCGCGCAGCGTCGTCAAAAGTCTCTCTCGAACGAAATCGCGACCACGAGGGGTAAAGATCCAGATCTCATCCTCGCGTCTGCAAAAGAACTCGACTCCTGAGATTCCCGCTCGAACCGTCCGCTCCGATCGCCGATTGTCGATTATACGTATTTATCCCGCGTAGACGAACGCGGCGCGGCAAACGGTCGAACGGTGATCCAACGACGGTGGGAGGAGAATCTCCTCGTTTGCGCTCGCAACAAAGTGCCGCTTACACCGACGTTTTGTACAAACAGGAGTAATCGTCGGCCAATTAGATGGTCGGGAGGTTGTAGTTAGGCGAACCTTCGGGCGGCTAGGTGCGCCCCGGATAATCGCGGTCATAAATAACATTTATCGGGGGGTCCCGTGCTCTAATTGCCAATGATTACCGCGAGCTGCACGAGAAAAAATTGCCAATTTGCATCGAATGCTCGGCCGTCCCTCTCTTTCTCTCTCCTCCTCTCTCGTTTCCCGCTTCGTTTACTTACCGGCCGCCCGGCCCGTCGGATTATAGATAAGCAGTTTCGCCTGTGACGTTAAATCACCTTCCGTTATCCAGCGACGGTCGTTCCGCTAAAGCTCGCCGAGATACGTCGATATTAAAAAGCATCGCGGACGCATTAATTCTCGGGGAACAAATTGGCCCCATGGGTGGCGTACTTTATGGATTCCTGAAGAGTCCCGAAGAGCGCTCTCGGTCGGTTTCAATCATTATATACGCGGTTATACAAGCGGAAGCCGGTGAAATACATCGATACAGAAGACGCCGAGCGTATATTAAATCGTGAGGACACCGGGCCAATTTTTGCTTTCAAGCTCCTTCGATCTTACGGAAGATTGAACGCGCTCGAATGATGTTCAGTGCGTATCGCCGGGTCATTAAATATTAAACTTAACCCTCGCGTTGGCGATACGGGCGATCCTCGCAGCGCTAGAGAACGAGCAAAAGAGAGAGAGAGAGAGAGAGAGAGAGAGAGAGAGAGAGAGAGAGAGAGAGAAGGGGCGAGGAATATTGCGTTTCCTCGCGGCTTCGTCATAAATTCGCGATGTTCAGCCGAATTTCGAGTCAATTCGTGCGAACCGCGCGAGCGCGATCGCGCCCGCCCCTTCGCGATCTCTCTCCGGTCGCTTCCTCTTCCGTTTCTTCTCCTTTTCTCCTCCTTCTCCTCCTCCTCCTGCTCCTCCTCCTCGTTTCTTTTTTCTTCTTCCCAGCGCCGGATACGGCGCGTAGAGGGTTCGCGTTCGCACGCGAATAGAGTTGGATGCCGCTCTCCTGAATACACAATGCGATTTATTCGAAACGCGGCGTATAAAACACAAAGGACCGCGTATGATTGGTAAATTATTGAGGCCGAGCGGATTTGTCGGCCAATCACGTAGCGCCCTTAAATAATTCAGGGGAGATGCGGAGGAAGGATGCGAGGGAGGCTGACTCCGCGAGGTGGCGGAGAGTCATTCCGCGACGTTGATTCTCGCGTCGCGATATCGCGAATCAATATCGACTCACGACACCAAGCGGCAACTACACATAAACCTTTAAGGAGGCCGGAGAAGACCGAGAATACGGAGCGGCGTTACGCCATTCACAGTGGCGTACAGCCACGACGGTGTTTGCATAACATCGAAACAAATTTATTAATACCTCTATGATAGAACTATAATACAAAACGTATCTATACTAGCGAACGCATACACATTTCTTTAATGATAATATCTCGATTCTCGCGTACATCGTGTTCCAAGCGCAATCGGGACTGGATACGTACAACACTGCTCGTGATTTACGTGTGGATTTAGGACGCGATCCGTGGACACACACGCACGCACGCACGCACGCACGCACGCACGCACGCGCACACACACACACACACACACATACACACACAACATGGGATCAAATGTACAAAAAGGTTTAGCATTCCTCCGAAAGTACTCGCGTTGTGCTCGCCTGCTTGTCGTTTAAATGTTCGCACTCGATAGTCGCATAGTATGGTATAAATATCCCGTTAGTGGTCTCGTAGTCGAGGACTTAGTCGGTTTTGTGTTGTGTTGTGTAGGAACTATGCTGATTTTATTCTGGAATCGTCGCGCATTCCGCGAGTTAATCGTTTGTAACAGACGCATCGTCGACGTGTCTTTGACCGCCGACAGAAATTTCACGCAGGATTCTCTGTTTCCACAAAATCGCGCCTAGATGGGCGACTTCAACGCGTCCGGTGAATGCAAGCCGCTTCACCGAGCCGCGGGCTTGTGTCTGATAGCGATGATCGGTACACTGCGATTCGTTGCAGTGTTAAACGATCGTGCAGTGTTCTCTTATTCGCGAGTGATAACCGCGAGAGATGGGCTAACAAATTGGCACTGTTTATTACACACACGTGTGTATCTCGCACACGGGAAGTATAAGATCGGGAAAATAATCGGGAGCAGCGACGAATTAGCAGCGTTTGCAATTCTCGTTTGCGTCCTCCGCAACAGCTGAATTGCAACGGTCGATGTAACGAGCGTGTAAAAGACGAGTGTTTCTCAACGAAATTCACTAACGATGGTCTCTCTCACAGCCGATTTCAGTTTCAGCTTCGTGTAAAATGGGGGGTCGCGATGTTTACACATTAGCGTAAGCAAATTACCGTAATAATCGTGACGAACGAAACTCTTTGTCTCGTCTCGCGCAGCGGCCGGGAAACCGTGTGCGGGAGTTGCGTCCGCGTTCAAGGGTTAACCCTCGCTAGAATTTCCCGGCGCAGCTGCCGGCCCATTATCGTTCGACATAGGTACTTTTGGCATCGACGAATCCCCGAAGAGCCCGGGAAAAGGAAATAAAACATCCTTCCCGAGACTGCGGGTATTCCTCGTGATCCGATACGATCAGCACGGGCCGGGCCGGAGAGCGAGAGAGAACTTTCGGCATAACTCAACCTCGTTATCTGACTCGCAAATAAGGCAGCGGAAAAGTTCGCGACATCAATCTGGGCCTCTGCCGGGAGATTCGAAGTTGAAACAATGCTTAAGTCACCCCTAACGTATGAGCCCCATGGGGTGGCGAGTTGGCGGCAGCGGCAGCGGCGGCGGCGGCGGCGGCGGCGGCAGCGACGGCGACGGCAGCGACGGCAGCGACGGCGGTTGCTGCACTGCATAACTCCCAAAGTCCACCGATTCGATCTCTCGTTCCCGACGTCCGTCGTCCTCTCGTCGTCCGGCAGGAGCAAGACCCTCGGCGAGGGTCCTGCACCGCCTCACCGACGCGCTGCTCCGCCGTGGCAGGCATTAAACACGAGAGACCAAACTTTATTACCGCCCCGAAGTTTCGGGTTTCTCGCGACGGCGGCTGTTAAAGATCTCTCTTGGACCGGCCGGTAGTCTCGATGTCGATACGATGCGTACGCATCGTGGAATTCGCGATGGCGCGAGGGAGAGGAAAGTTTCCGCGGCGACGCGGACTTTCGTTTTTATTCCGTCAAGAAAAGTCTTGTCGATGTACGTGCTTTTTCTTCCCTTCTCATCAGCTCGTGTTCTTCTCTTCAGCAGTTCTCGCGTTCTTGGACCGAGTCGCGTAAGTTCCATCAATTATAGTCTAGAGAGCACCAATAGTTCGCCGTGTTTGGCGAATACACGTTTCCGTTGTCTATCTATTTTACCTAGTTCTCTATCTATCGATCTATCTATCTGTCTATCTATCCAGCTATCCAGCTAACTATCTATTCATCATTTAGCCGGCCAAGCGCGGGGGAAGACGAATTCCTTCCGACGTGTATCGGGCACACGAATCTGATCGGGCGAAATAACGAAAGAGTACTTCCCACACCCTTCTATCTTACAATGGAGAATCTAGTTTGAATAACGGGAATAACGATTCAGCCGGGAGACACGACGACGTTCGTCGAGCAGCGTGACACGGGAGAAACGGGAGTCGCTTCGTGCAATTTCGTCAGCTGTTGGAAAATATCATACATTCCTCATCATATCAAACTCTCCTCCCAACGTAGCGAATCTATCGAATTCTCTCTTCCGCCGATCGAGACCCTACGCAAACGAAAGGATTACTCTAAAGTCTAAAGTCTCCCGCACCGCTTATACCCCGCTTAATCGCGCCGTCTCGCTCGGACACCATCGTATTTTATGGCTGTAATCTTCTATTTACATAAACCGGACTTCGGAGAGTTCGTCCCCATCGATCTTCATTCGCGACCAAGCGGACCGTTCAATGCGGATATATAATACATATCTATACGATAAAACACACCGCCCCCTCCGACATCGTTCGCGACGCCGACAACTTAACAATACAACTTGCGACAGTTAGGAGATAATCGATTATGCGCGATCTGCCACGAGCTAAAAGTTACTGCTTTCGGACGATCGGGGTGGTAAGCTACACGTAGACAACGAGGAGGACAGTCGAGATGCGGATTTTCGCGCGACGCCCCGTCCGCGACGCGCGCGCGCGCGCGACTCAATCGATATATCGGCGCTTACTTCGTTTGTCATTTGGCATCGTACGATGCTTGCGCATTGATACCGTTTAAATTATTCATGGGGTTCAGGACGTTATGGGCGCTCGAGCTGGCTGGCGCTGGATATCCGTTGTGGTTATGGGCCGTCTCCCCGTTCGCTTGTCGTTGAGCGCCACCCGCGGCTACGGTCTGCAAGATAAAAGAAGACGCGTGAGGATTACTCGCCGGTACACTCGCTGTATTTCGCTGCGGTCGCTTTTTCTCTCTTTCAATTTCGCCCGATCGACGATCTCGACTTAGCTCGGAAAATTTATGCTACCGGCTTTTTTCTTTTCTCTCTTTTGCAAACTGCAGTCGCAGCTGAGAGCGATGTCGCGGCGCGCGCGCGGCATTCAACGCGAGATTCAAGCGGCCGATTCGCGTGTATTTTCCCTGTCAATCTATAATACGGAAGCGTATCGTGTGATTAAACGTGATGCTCTCTCGACAACTAGTTGTAATCTAGGTGAGACTTGCGATCAATGCGAGTGATACCGTACCACTGCAGGCGAGAGAGGGAGAACGCACTGACCGCCTTGGTTAACAAATTCTGGTTAGTGACTCGTGTCCTTGTCTAGATTTTATAATTCTAGCTGTAACGTAGATTGAGAAAGAAAACTTCATTATGGTTGTGAGATCGTTGCTCGATATTGCTGCAAATGTACTCGTAATTACGGTTTTGTCACTTACAATTTGACTCAACTCCGCGATTTGCATCTCTGGCGCGAAATTAATACGCGACTGCAATCTTCGGGAAGATTTCTCATCCTAAGAAGATATAATGTGTGACGTATCTGGGACACGACATTAATTTAGAGATTGAACGACAGTATGAATAATATCAGTAAGAAGAAATATTGTATACAGACGGCTCTTTCTTTCTCGAAGAATAATCATCGGAATTATTAATCGCACTGGGAATAACTATTTGGCGATTTAATCACACACGTCACTAACCCTCCAAAGTGTGTCTATAAATAAAATATGAATCGTCCATTTTACAGAATTACAGAAATTGCTCACATTACAGAAATTGCTCTTAATATTACAAAAAGCGATCGTGTAAAGAGCGTTTCATCCATTTTGGATACGCTGTATTTATAGAAACTACTCCCCGTTTCTCCCCGAGCCACCCTTAAACGAGTAAGAAACGCCGCTTAAGGATTACGTTCAATTTATCCTCGAGAGCCGTTTGTCGGGCGCTCAAATGCATATTTCAGAAGATGCATAAGACAGCGCGAATCTGTAATTCTGAAGAAATTAATCCGATTAGAGAGCAACTTACGGAATCCAGGAATAAAATCAGCCGATCGACCGGCTACGTCGGCCTCGTGATTCGATTTTCGCAATTATTCACGACACGCGGCACGTAAAATTCGTCGCGGAACCTCCTGCTCGAAAAGGGTTGGCAACGCTAACGAATTCGCATTCCTCCGTCCCACCCCTCTTTCATCCTCGATTCTCTAACATGCCGGTGTCTAAGACTTCACTTCAAAAACAAAAGACCGGAGGAACGAACTTGTATCTCGCAGCGGCCGGGTAAAGGCCGGATAAAGAGGAGGGAACGAGCACGACTTAACTTGGGCGGTTCTCTCTCTCTCTCTCTCTCCCCCTTCGCTTCTTCTTCTTCTTCCTCCTTCTCCTCCTCGCAACCGAATCTTTATCCATCTCTGTCTCTATCTGGTGGCCATATTTATGCGCGGGCGGTACAGAGCTGTTGTAGGAGAGGGAAGAGGGTGTGTGCTAGGCTAGGTAAGTGCCGTTGAAAACTTCCAACTTTGTATTCCCCGTCCCCCTCTGCCTTTCCCTGCTTCATCTTATCCTGCCGATCCCGCTACCTCTTCGTCTTTCGACCTCCGTCGTCGTCGTCGTCGTCGTCGTCGTCGTCTCTCGTGCTCCTTCGCGAACACGCGTGTCTCTTTCTCTCCTTTCTCTCCTGTGCCTTTCCCTTCAGTTTCTCTTAGTTTCTGCAGTAAAGGTGTTAAATTATACAGGCTTAAAATTCGACAGACCGTGCAGCTCAGCCCCATCGTGACGAGGTCCTCCTCCCTCTCGCTACGATTTCGGCCCGTAAGTTGATCACGCTAACTTTCTCACGGCGTCGAATTAAGCCTCCATCTTCGGCAATTATCCTGCGACTCGGAATGTCGAATACGTCGCGGCCCACCAAAGTGTCGTCGTTGATTTTAATTGTAAGCTCTTTTATTCCGAGCATCTTTTGTCACACCGTACGGTTTGTGTTTCCATTTGGACGAGTATCGCGAGAAAATTTATTATTAAGACAATCTCAGGTCCGTCCGTTTAAAGACTCCTCTGCCGTTCTTACTGCTTTATCTCCGCTTTTATTCCTCGACGCGATGCGCGACGGAGCAATAAGAACGCGAGAAAGCGCAGATCCGTCACGGGACCCAGCGAGAGGTGTTATCTCCGCGAGGTGTCTTAATAAAGCATTTTTCCCGTTTTAAGGCGCAAAGAAGCGTAGCTGGCGCGGAGTGCGGTCGCGGAGTAATTAACTCGTAAATAATTACGATAAAAGTGACAAAGCGCCGCTAAAGAAATGCTTTATCATCTGTCTCTGCGACGGGGGTGATTTTTTTCCCTTAGAAAGGATCCTTAAATCTCGTTGCCGTGAGAAACCCTTTCCCCCCTCCCCCGCACCCGCCGGTAGAGCACTTCCGTCCTTCTCTCTTACTTTTCGTGTTTTCCCTTCTACGTGTATACATGGGGTCCTTTCTTTCCTTCTCTCTCTCTCTCTCTCTCTCTCTCTCTCTCTCTCCCCCTCTCCCTCTCTCTCTCCCTCTCTCTCTCTCTCTCTCTTTATTCTGCGCTACTCCTCCTCTATTTCCTCCTCCTCCTTCTCCTCTTCCTCTTGTCTTAGAGAGGGTCCCGCTCGTAATTAAGAAATCTCCGTAGAAGGCTCCAGACCGCCGTTGAATGCCGCTATGGGGTTAAATTAAGTCTATGACTTATTCAAGTTTTATCTACAATTGCCAGAGGAGGAATTACCGCGCTGTGGATTTACTGCCGGCGTCGTAATCAAACGGCACGCGCTCGGCGCGGCGGGGAACAGCTCCGCTAATGTGTGAGTACATAGAGTTCTGTGTGCGCATAGAGTTACCCGGTCCCCGCTTCAAGGTCGCAGGCGTCCTCTGTGTGCTCGATTGTCCTTTGTAACCGTTCGAAATTTTGCGATCCGCGTCCGGGAGATTGTATCAACGATAACCTCTCACCTTGCCTCGGGTCATTAACGTAACGGAGAGAGAGAGAGAGAGAGAGAGAGCCTCGCACCGTGTTGCAAATGACAGCCGAGCGGATCCTTTTGTGCTTATTTTCGCCTCTCTCACCTCTCGCCGTAATCTCTCGGTTTTTCTTCCCTCCCCCGGAGGACCTCCCGCGAAGCGCGAGCGCGCGAATAAGACATTAATCGTGACTCAGCGCGCGAGGGTGGCAGCGGAGAGGGTCGGGTAGTTTGTAACTGACGGTAAATGCGGAGCATCGCCGTCGCGCGAGGGCTCGGAGGGAATCGCGTGTCATTTGTCCGTTGATCTCCCGCGGATGGGAAACGGCCAGGTGCGAGCACCTCGTACCTTCGGCGGCAGCGCGGCTTTTCTTACGCGCAAAAATTAGCGCCGCCCTCACTCCGACGCGGCGCGTTCGTGCCGACGATGGTTCGCAGCCGTGCCGAGCTCCGGCACGAGATGAGAATTAGGCAAGACGTCGTTAATCGCCGGCGGGATCGTTTAGGAGCGGAATTTACTGCGGCGGCTCGTTAGTCCGCCGCCGCGGTCATTCTCGATTCGATTTTCCTCACGGCCGGGGAGAAATTGATTAACACGTCGTTACGAGCGTCCCGGCGAGAGCGTAGAGACTCTGCCGAGAAACGAGAAAAAGAGGCAGGCGCGCGCGCGCACCCGCGCGCAAATTACGTTTGCGTTCTCGGGGAGGAGCGTCCTCGAGACGGAGTTTCTCGGCGGGATTTTTCTCGACTCTTCGCAGCAATTCTGCCGACATCCACGTGTTAACTGAAACTTGCCGACTCGGTCGCTCGGAATTACGAAGTGTGTAACAGCGACACGAGCAACGGTAAACGCCGACGCTCGCGCGCATCGTGTTCCGATTTTCGAGGGCAGTGACGAGCCGAAGAATTGCAATTTCGAACTCTCTCTCGGTGACGCGAAATTACCACTCGGACGCGCGCCGGGTCCACAGGTCCGCAGCCGTCGGTAATAATCGTTACAAAAGTAAGCTCGACCACGTAGCGCATAGCTCTCTCCGAGTTTGTTTCCCAACTAAACTCATAATCTCGCGTAAGCTCGCAAGCCGGGCTTTCTCATGCGAGCTTTCTCGGCGCGCCTTGTATAAGGGGCCGCGCGGAGGCTTTACGTGAAATTCAGCCAAGCACGGTGCACCTAATAATGCGCTCGTTAACAAGAACGACGTGTACAGGGCGCGTGCGAGGGCTCGTATGTACGTGTTCTCTCTCTTCCCCTCTCTATTCTACTCTCTCTCTCCCTCTCTCTCCCTCTCTCTCCCTCTCTCTCTCTCTCTCTCTTCCTGTCATGACACAGCTCGCGATTTACGCTACGTTCGCTCAACGGGCAATCTAATCGGCCGATCGGTCGGCGATCGATCAGACTGCTGTCTGATTTATGAACTTATTTCGTCCGGGAAACATCTCGAGAGCTGCGCGATATTTCGAGATCGTCGCGGTAACGATCTCCCTCGGCTCCCGATTGCCTCTCCTTCTTTCACGTCTCGTTGTGAAACGAGATCTTTGTGTAGCTTTTTTTAGCTTAATATATCGCGGCCACGGCCGCGAGAAGAGATTATTGATTTTCCGTAATTTCATGACGTGCTCTGATGTAATTCTAAACAGATCGTACCCGCGCACAACGATGGAGTATCTACAATGAAGGATTAATGATGGACTAATGGCTTTGTTCAGTGTGGGAATACGCGTCGTGGTCCTGTATAGTACTGCATTACGATGATGCACGTCCATTTCGCTAAACGCTACATTTCGAGGGATTAACCGTGCGCTACATTAATTATTATTAATGGTATCATATCCTATTCTGACACATTCTATTCGGGCATTCTAATGCGCACGATACATCAGGTATCGCTGATGAAAGCTAAGTATTCCATTCATATCGAGACAAATATTTTTAATCGCGCGTTATCGATCGCGCGATATGTCGATCAGAGCTCGAAGAGAGCTGAATAAATCTCTCGATGAAGCAATTCGCGCGCGCGTGCGCGCGTTCCTGCATTAAAGTTCTTATTTAGTTAAAGTGCAAATTCCCTTCGTCAATGAAGCGAAATAATCGCGCACTTTTCTTTCTCCGTCTGTCGCGTTTGCGCGTGTCGAGAGACCTGTATCGCATTAAAAAACACGAAATAAAATATCGGAACTGCTAGGCGTTCTTAAACAATGCAAATGCGGCACCGTAAGCTTCTTAAATCCGTCTTTATGAGTTCGACGCCTTCACTTCGCGCCCCCGCGAGCAAATGAATATTGAGCGTACAGATCCCGATAAAAGTGACGTTAAATCGAAAGTGTAATTTCGCCGAAATTAGTCGCTCGCGTTTAACGAACTTTTCAGGAATCTAATCGCCTGGAAGCAATATAGAGGACGTTGTAATACCTTATTTCCCGCACGAATCTCGTACTGCGCATTGATCCTCTTAAATTCTCATGTACCTTCCGTCCTGGCATTAGCATATTATCTCACCTCCGCTAACCCCCTCTCGCCTGCCCTCTCTCGTCACACCCTTCAGTCCCCTTCCGGCATCTTGGCTCCCCTTCCCCTCCGATTCGCGAAGGACTTCGCAGACACTCGAGAGTTTGTTTTAAAACTCAGATAATCGTTCCAAACTCTCGGCGTGTCTTTCTCCTTCCTCACTCTTACACCCCGGTGTCTATATCCCCCCTTTCATCTCCCCCTACCACCGCCGATTTCGCCGGGTCCCGAGGGAAAAATTAGACCGAAATAAAAGTTCTCGCCAATTTTTAAGCGCGTTACACTTGTCTCTAAGGAGGATGAGATTGCGCGGCTCGATCGAAGCTTCCTCGCCGAGAAAACCGAGGAAGCTAAAGCTCCCCGTGAGTCTCCTCAAGCCTCTCACGTAGAGCAACGATAATATCCCTTTAATCCCGCAATAGTCCGAATCGTTGAGTCGCAATTTCAAGTACAAAATCCACCATCGTTCGATTTTTCTCAGATATACGAACACGACGCGAGCAGACCGCGAAAGATACAACGTGAGACTGTAACGCGCGATAAAACACCTCAATGGCTCGCGACGCGACATGATATCGGATCGGTGATCCGTCATTCGTCTTCTCTGCCGTGACAACTCGATTGTCGATGCCGACGTCTAAAGGCGATCCAGCCGCGCGCTTCCTTTCATCCCCTCATCCTCCCCGCTGTCGATTTATCCCGGATCAGGCGTAGTCGAGTTATTCGTAAGCAACACTCCCCGGCATTATTCGCCAGAAGCGCGGAGGATCCCGCCAGGGCTGAGAAAGATTGGGACAGCTGTCTGTTCTCAGGCAATCAGAAAAACTACCGTTCCCCACCTTCCGCCGGCGGTGGTACTTCGCCGCCCCCGACGAGCCGCGGCTTAAGGAGAGTACAAGGGTGCCAGCTGCCTCCCAGGACGAGCACCCTCTTCGCGGTTTTTAAGAATCTTAACGCCTTTTCTCCTTTCTTCTCCCTCCGTATTTTTCCTGTTCTGCCTCGCTCTTTCCGCGCACTTTACGGGGATACTCTCAATTTCATCTTTACATTTTGTCACGGCCCAGGATAAATCCTGGGGAACCCGGTACGATCTTTCTTCCGAAGTTATCTTTTGCGCTCAGATATAGCATCGACTTTGTCGATCCGATCCTCTTCCCTCTCTTTCCCTCTCTTATTTACACGTAGTCGATATATCTACGGGATTACTTACGCGCGATGTAAAGGTGCGCGCGCGCGCGCGCGCGTTTTAATTCCTCTTATTTAGATGCAAAATGTCAAACGACCCTCGACTAGGCAGCAGAACGGTACACATCTTGAGTGTTCTCCGCGCGATCGAAGGTATTCACGCTTCGGGCACGAGATGTCAAGAGGGATCCATCAGGCTTAGCGTAATAGATGCGCAGACGACATTAGCATGCCACGCCGATTATTGGTATTAGTCTGCCATCCCGTTATTTCGCACACCGGTCATTTATAACCCGTAAACCCCCTCGAGCGAATCGATATTGCGTGTGAAAGCTGCTGGATCGCGCAATATCGGAGCATACCACGGACGTGCCAATTTTTCCCGATTGTTGACGATACCGGAAATTTACAGCAAAAAAACAAATTTGATCTTCCCCCGCCGCGCACGCGAGCGCGCGTATCGGGGGGCAATAAAGGTATCCTCGTATTAATAAAAGCGACATATCGAGTAGCGGCGAATCGAGACCGCCGAAGCTCAAGGCTCGAGACACCTCTCTACCGCGTCGGGGGAAAAATTCACGCGAGCGCGTGCTCGCGAGCTGAAAAATGTTTACGTCCCTGAAAAATGTTTACGCGGTATATACCCGCTCTCTCTCTCTCTCTCTCTCTCTTTTTTTCTCGTGATCCAGCTGATATTTCTTCAAACATTGTAACCAACGCGCACACGCACACGCACACGTCGTCGAGGCTCGCGCGGAGGAGCGCGCGACGCTTACGTGGCGGTAGAGGAATAGAGTCGCAAGGGTTACCAACCCCTGAATTACACGCAGCTCGCCGGCGAGGCGGTTAAGGGGAGCGAATTTGCATATTATAAGTAGTACACGTTACCGAGCTTGATATCATCGGGCCGGGGACCTCGTTATTCTGTGCATGCGTACAATTCGAGCGTGCGGCGAGCGAGCATCTACGACCACAGACCGCTCGCAGACGTTCCGAAGCCTCAAACTTTCGCGATCGCCGCTCGCCTTTATCGTATAACCTTTCAACCCGTCAGCCAACAACAGAACAACGATAGCGGACGGTATCTCTGACGGACATCGTCAACGACCCGACTTAATAACTCAATTCCGCTCGTCGGAAGGGAACTACGTTCAAAGTCCTCGCGCGAAGGACATTCGTCTCTGCTGGAAGATTCGGTTTATAAAATGCAGCGGGGCGCGGGTCCTCTTGACGATGGCAACGTGAACAACATTGCCCTGCTTAGTCGATCGGGTATTTCGCCGGTCGCGCCAATTTTATGTAAATATCGCGAGTTAGAATACGTGACGTCATGTCACGTACACGAAGACGGCGGAATCCTTGCAAGACGGAACCCGGATTAAATGGATAGGCTCCTAGGGTCGAGCAGGACGTGGTCCTTCGTGCGGCGGGAGCTTAAGATATTGTTTCGAAGCAAGTCTGTTGCCTTAGGATAATCAAGAAGGCTTAATCCCAACAAGCTTAACGCCGATGAGTTCATAATTCTGGACGTTGCCGCTCGTGAAAAGCGTCTCTCCCTCATCGTCTCCCTTGTCATTCGCCCCTTATTAACACAATCTTATATTCGCTTCCGCTGCTGCAGTTATCCGATCCAACATTAAGCAGAGCTGGCTTTACAATTACGCGAATTAAATCAACTCTCCGTTTCGATGTGTTTCTCGAGCGTAATCGCCGGACTTTATCGAAAGATTCGCGACGCCAATGCAAAATGCACGACGACCCTCTCCCGGCTTCGTGGCTCCACGACGGAATAGCTCTCGGCAGCTTGACGATCCTCTCGAAGGGAGTAAATTCTTTCGCACGTTCCGCTCCTCCGCCGGAGAACGGGCGAATCGTTAAGGCATGCGACGAGGCTTGCTTAACGGGCGAGCTTAATTAATAAGGACACGCGATATCCTAACTCGTAAGACGACGGTAGGATGGTAAAGCATAGCTGAAGCCTCGGGGGAGTCCTTTGTTGTCGAGAGGGTCAGGACCTGCCACTTTAACCCGCCTTAAGGGGTTGCGCCTCGAGGAGTTTGAAACCTTGCGAGTTTGAAACCCGATGGCCAGGGTCCGGAGCGGAGACTCCACGATGCACTCTCTCCCTCTCTCTCTCTCTCTCTCTCTCTCTCTCTCTCTCTATATATATATATATATATATAGTAGTATTTTACACGGAATATCTCGTGACGAAAATACATCTGCCGATAGATAGCCGTACGCGATATACGCTTTATGAGCATGCAGCGCCACAAGTCGCACATCATATCGCAATCCCGCGAGCACGGGATCCTCCCACTTGATAATGGAAACGAACGTAAACTTTTCACCTGTGGCTGAAGATGAGTCACTTGCCTCTTGATGTGCGCCAAAGTCGCACTAGGCGGCGGATGCAGAGCCATGTTGGCGAACACCAACCTCTCCTCGTAATCGTACTCGCACAGGATCTTGTTATCGCAGAGATAAAATCTGTCACCCACACAAAATCTGCAAGCACAAACATTCGATCTCGTTAAAATGGCGGAGAGAGAAATTCTCGCGCAACTATCAACTATCCGCGAGCGTGACGTATCGAGAATGGTGCGGGTGCGTGGGCGATGGAATCGAACGACGATGGCGGTCGTTAGCATGTCGATTTGCTTACGAGTGGCCTAGGGAAGAAGGGCGAGAGAGAGAGAGAGAGAGAGAAAGAGAGAGAGGGAGGGAGGGAGGGAGGGAGGGAGGGAGAGGGAGAGACTCCGTTTCTCGAATCTCGGGCGAGAGATAGGCAGAGCGGTAAAACGTGCTAATTCCTTTTAAGGCCACTTTCCGTTCTGCTCCGCCGAGGAAATTGCTAGAAAATAAAAACAAGTAGCGAAGCGCCGCGCCTCCCCCAACTTCCTCCGTCGAGCGTCTCTTCCTGGGCGCTTAAATGTAAATCTTCCGGCGATTCGCAGGCATCGCGCTCGGGATTACACGGCGATCGGGAAGCCGGCGCCGCCTTTCTCGTTCTTAGCTCTCGCCGCTTACGCGCGCGTCGACATCCCCGATTTTCTCGCCCGCGACAGCTAAAAATCCGAATCTTAAGCACGTCATCGCGACGATAAATGCCGACGGACAATGGCGCGCCGTGTGTTGCTCTCGCGATATTACAGAAAACCGTTAGCGAATTGACGCACGCATTGGCATCGACATCTGTCCATTCTCGGATGTCGGCGAATAAAATCAGAGACGGCGCCGAAGTGTATTTTAAAATTCAGCGTATAAAAGTCCGGGATTTTGCAGTAATCCGACACGATATACATACCGGCGTTGCACGCGGATTTCGGGACGGCAGCGGCGAGGTACCGAACGTGCTCGGCTTGCGATATCAGAGAAATAAGGTTGCCACCGAGGGTTATACGCATCTACCAACTGTCGCGCCCCCGCGCGAGGGGTGCGGCGCGCGGCGCGCGGCGCGCTGGCGTGGCCTTTAAAATCAAAGATTTCGCATTTTTCGTTTTTATTGCCGGTTTAAAAGTCAATTTTTTCTCCGCCGCGCCCTCCCCACGGAGGACGGGGCTGGCGTCCGTATAAAGGACGTTACGCCGGAAATGCTAAAGAGCCATGAAAAGCGGGATCGTGCGGGGGCGGGGGCGCTTCCACCGCGCGGCACAATGGATCGAAGATCCACGAGGGACACGAAAATCGTTTCGCCAGGATCCGCGAGCCTTGAGCATTCCCGTCAGGCGCCGGGAACATCACTCTCTGGACGTTATACGTTACCGCGTGTATCGATCGCGATATGACGGGCGTGTTCGTGCGATTTGTCTCAGCGAGGAAGAGGAAGGCGCGAGACTTGCGAGACTCGAATCCTCGGGGATCCACGTCGAATCCTGCCTGTACGTATCGTCAATGCGGATCCTTCGGATGGAAAATTGATCTTTGCTCGCTCGAACGTGCGTTACGCGCGTTCTTCGAGTTTTATCGATGTTACGCAACGAGCAAAGAGTAAGAGTCCATGCCTGCTTGACAATATTCGTCAGACGATACTCGGACAAGCTTGCAACGCGACTGACGATTCGTTCCAACAATGAGACAACGAGCTGAGCTGAGGGGAGAAGAATGAACGAAGGGAAAGGACAGTGTCGCGATACATCGCCGTCACGTAGTCGGTGAACCGCGTAAACTCCACGACGCGGTAAACGCCTTGCGGGATAGCGGGGATAGCGGGAGCGGAGGGGAGGGGGGGGGGGAGAAACGCGCACACCGACGCGTTCGTAATTCACCGGTGAATAATAAAAGCATTTTTCGGCAGAGGCCGGGGGCGGCGGGGGTGGTGTGTACATCGGCGGGTACATACGGCCATTGCGTATTCAACGGATGTGCTGTCCCGCACTGGGATCCTGTTTGGGTTTTATGTCGGGATTTCTCTGTCGAGTGGTTTATACCGGCGCTTATGTAAATGCAGACGTGATTTTTTTCAGCACCTACTCTGCCGAGCAGCACCTGAACGTGCGCGCGTCCGCACATTTGTAGCATTCGAAACGAGCCGGTTGGCCGTCGTCGTCGTCCTCCTCCTTCCAGGAGGACCATGAAATCGCAATGAGCCTCCGCAGAGCGGCATTCCGCCGGGATCTGCGTTTCTTCTCTCCCTCCCCGGCCCCTCCGTCGCCCTCGCGAGGCGGATTCAGCGACGGTGGCTTTTTAGGACGCCGTTGAGCGATACGCGCGGCGTCGGCGAGATCGGCGCCTCGACGAGAGAGCGAATATAAAAATCGGCGGGTTCTTTCGAGCGAGCGCGACTTAAGGACACGTGGTAAGAACACTTTCGTAACGTTCTCGAGCGAGAACCTCGCGAGATCTCGCTGAGTTCTCACTCGCGGGTGTGCAGGCTTGGATTATTTCTGACTGTACAACGTGATCGGAGGTTCTCATTATCCTTCGATATTATCCGGTTGATTCGGAAATATAAATGCGACAACATTACAGATGCATTAGCTCGCGCTGGAAACTCGCGACCGAAATGGCGAGCGTCGACTCTATATCCGGCCTGACTGGCGACGGTCTAATTGAACTTAAAATATCTCGCTGATTGGCGCGCGAATTCGCGACACATCTCGATCGATATCGCGCAGCGGGCAACGCGAGTACCGCGCGATGTATATAAATACGCTTCTGCTCAGCGAAATCAGGGCGCCGTGGGGAACTGCGGGCGACATTAGCGGTTTCGCGCGAGTAGATTTAGCACTCTCTCTCTCTCTCTCTCTCTCTCTCTCTGTCGATCCCCACGCGTGTCACTTCGCTGATCGAATTAATTATGCCGAGTAATCGCTGCGCTTCGTAGGAAGGGAATTCAAACATGTTCCTAAGCGCGCATAATCTTCGTCGACTTTTGACCTGGCCGACCGGCGGTTTGTCCCCCCCCCCCCCCCGCGAGAGAGTCCACTTCGCGCGGGCTCATTTTTCACGGGGATTTTCCGCGGGTATCTCGTTTCGTCGGCGTAACGTAAGAAGAGTCGGATCACCGCGCCGCGACACGCGGGAGGAGACAATGAAAGAGCGCGCGCGCGCGAGCGATTGGAACAGCCGGCATGAACCACCATAAAAAGCAATGCGCCCTCGTAACGGGGTACGATAAGTACCGTAAGCTACGGAGCAAAATCGATCCCGGGGGCAGCTTCGAATCATGCACCATAAAAAAGAACATTACAGGGCGTAGGTGCGAGAGAGGGAGTCTCGGGGGCGAAGAAGCGGGAGGGAAAACGGTTTTTTATAATGGTGTTGTGATTTCGCGTCCAGATACGCGTGCTGTATGCTCGCCGATAAACGCTGCTCCTGTAACCCGTAACGCTAAACGTCCCAGGCATTAGTACCCGCCGCTCGTTCTCGGCCCTCTGTGACGTATATCCTTCTTTTCCTCGGCGTCCCTAACTCAATGGAAATCGAATCTGTGCGCGCCTCCGGCAGAGAGAGAGAGAGAGAGAGAGGGGGGAGGGAGGGGGGAGGGAGGGAGGGAGGGGGAGAGAGAGAGAGAGAGAGAGAGAGGCGTGTTTTATTAAGACCTTTATTTAGAAAGCAGCGGATCGAACGGAGGAGAATCTAGCGCGGCTGCGTCGAACAACAAACGGCTTCTAACGACAAACGGCGGGAAGTATAAGTAACTGCCAATCGATGTCGCACTTAACGGGGGCAAGTGTGAATGATGGCGGTAGCGGCAGCGATAGTCTTCTCCACGTCGGTATTTTTGGGAGCACCGTCGAGCCCGCGAACAACGCCGCCTCTCAATCGAGCCTCGTCGCGCATTCTGAAAATCGACGAGCAAATCGGTAACGGAGGCGGCGGGTAAAGACCGCGCTGCCGTTAAACGTCCTCCGAGGCGCGAGCAGCGCCTCTCGCCGCTGCTAAGTCGAGAGAAAGCCTCCGAGATTCGTCGGCAAACAGTGCGAGGCTCCGCCACGTGGAACGGGAAACCCCAAACGGCAACACTTCGCCGGTAGTCAAGACCAGAGAGGCGGAGAGGTGGAGAGGTTTGCTCGAAGCCGAAGAGAGGGTCGCGCGGAATGAATTTCGTACTCGGTCGTGGAGTCTTTTGAGAACAACGGACGAGAGAGGGAGAGACACGCGGTCTAGATCGAGGCAGGATAGGAGTGCGCATGCATGCATGTGTGTGTGTGTGTGTGTATGCGTGTATGCGGATGGGCGAGAGGGAGAGAAAGCCGGGAAAACGTCTATACTGGCGGTAGTTGGTGGTGCTCGTACTCAATTTGCATCAAACTATGAAGAGACAGACACCACCGCCGTCCTCTCGCCCCGGCTCCGGGGGCCGCCACTCTAACACCTGATGGAGCCGCGCCTCCGTTCTCCCCCGCGACGCCCCGCAGCCGAGACTAACGCGTTTAGCAGAGACTCGAACCCCTAATCAGATCTTCCGACGGCAACGGGCTTTCTAAGGTGCCGCTAAGTGTGAAGTTAATGGAGTCAAGACGTCGCGCCGGGATACGCAAAACTCGCGCCCGCGCCGCGCCGCGCGACTACCGCGAGCACCACCGCTCTGGCTGATAGAACGCGGGGAGAATCGGGGGATTATTCTTTATTCATCTCGATGCGAGCCGAGATTCGCGATCGGAGTCGGATGAGAAATTTACGAGGCGTCTCGCAGACGCGGACTGCCCGATCGGCTCCGTTCGCGTTCCTCGGACGTTCTTGCTCGATCAACATGTTTACGTATCATTGTTCCTCCGATGTAGGTTGGCCGGCGGTTAAAATTGTCCACGGTCGAGCAGCTCTTCTCTCGTGAATCGTTAACGCGGCGTTAACTCTCGGCCTCGAGCGTCTGCCGGTCGGGCGTTTTCGGCTGTGCATCATTGAACAGTGCGCGCCGCTCGCTTCTCTCGCTCGCGTTCTGTCGCGCGCGCACTTTGTTGCGATAATGGCTGCTTACCTAGCGCGTTCTCCTGTTAATTAATTCAGACTGTCAGGGGTATCGGGGAACCGTGGCGGCGCTAATTCGATCAGCAGTGAATTCG